AGCCTTGAGCATCAAAGGCTTCCTGGCTAGCTTTGTTCTAGGCATTGGTTTTGAGTAGCAGCTCTTCTCTAGTCATCCTCAACTCATCCCTGACATTCTTCTCTCTTTTCTCAACCTTATCCTTAGCAGCTTGAAGGCCTTCGTAGTCAGAGGTCTGCTTCTCCATTTGTTCCTCGAGCTTCTGCACCCGAGGTCTGAGGCTCTCATTGTCAAAGGTCAGCTCAGCGGCCTTAAATTCGTATGTCTTCAAAACTTTGGCAGAATCCTCCGAAGATCGGACCCTACCCATCAAGTTCTTCAAGTGGAAGGCCATCTGTGGATAAAAAAAAGAGGGGGGGGAATAGACATAGATCAGCACAATTCAACCGCACCGAGCTAAAAGTCAGTGTGAAAATACTTACAGTGGCTGCTCCCTGGAGAGCTGAGTAGAAAGAGGCCTCAGGAGGCATGGTAGAGGCCCTCTAAATATCGAATTCGGGAAGAATGGATGAAATGGACCCAGTAGCCAACTTAGCATTGTCGAAGAAGGAATCTTCTTCAGTCTCTTGGCCCTCCCTCCTTTCGACTTTGGGACCCTGGAGAGGCAGCTGGGATGGTTGCTCAGGCGGTCCGGGGGGTGTAAAATCTGGCTTGATTCCAGTAATCAGCCCTAATGTTCCCTCAACCTCAGAAGAGGTAGGGGAAGCCATCCCTGGCTCGAAAGTCTTTCGGGGGGGCAAATTGGGCCCCTTGAAAAGGAGAAGGGGCCAGGGATTGAGATGAGGGAACTTGTCCTCCCTTGCTCAGGGCAGAAGAAGAGGACGCTCCCAGCTTCTGCACTTTAGGTCTGTCAGCAGGGCTACCTCCAGAGCTGGTATCGGCCTTCTGTTTGCCACTTTTTTTACTCTTCTTCAAGAGGTCAACTTTGGCCTGAAGTTCCTTAGGGGTAGATTTCATTATGGAGGAGCCTGGGAGATCTGGACCAAGCAAGTTAGACAAGAGAAAGGAAAAAAACGGAAAGACAAGGGAACCAGCTCATAAAGTATAACCTTCTATGTCTTCAGGCCTAGCAACTGAGATAGGAAGCAGAGCTTCAATCGATACCTCAGGAGGACTGAATCTCTGTGTTACTAAGACCCAGGGCTTGATGAGCTCGAAGTACTTCTCTGGGTTGCACTTCTCTAACTTTCGCTTTACTCTCTCGTCCTCAGCACTGAGCTCTGGTCGAATGCCTGAAAAGCAACACAAGGAGAGCAAAGGTCAAAAAGCCGACTCAACGATTTCTAAACTAGAGCTCAATCAGTTCGAGCAAGAGCTCACCTAAATTATCAGGGGCGGACCAAGTTCTAGGGATACCCAGAGTATCAGTCCTGTCAGCAGGATTGTACTCCCAGTTGGTTCCTCCAACAAAAAAGAATTGTTTCTTCCAACCTTTATGGGAGTTTGGGAGATGAGTAATGATTTGCCTAGCCGTGGTTCACTTGGAGNCTCCAACAAAAAAGAATTGTTTCTTCCAACCTTTATGGGAGTTTGGGAGATGAGTAATGATTTGCCTAGCCGTGGTTCACTTGGAGATATATANATGAGCTCGGAGTACTTCTCTGGGTTGCACTTCTCCAACTTTCGTTTTACTCTCTCATCCTCAGTACTTGGCTCTGGTCGAATACTTGAAAAGCAACACAAGGAGAACAAAGGTCAAAAAGACGACTCAACGGTTTCCAAACCAGAGCTCAATCAGTTCGAGCAAGAGCTCAGCTAAGTTATTAGGGGCGGACCAAGTTCTAGGGATACCTAGAGTATCAGTCCTGTCAGCAGGATTGTACTTCCAGTTGGTTCCCCCAACAAAAAAGAATTATTTCTTCCAATCTTTATGGGAACTCGGGAGATGAGTAATGATTTGCATAGTCGTGGTTCGCTTGGAGATATATAAGAAACCCTCTGCTGAGGTAAGCTTGACATTAAAGAGATCCACAAGCAAGGAAAGGCTGGGGACCCCGAGTCTATGAATCTTGAAGAAGACTATAAGACCAACAAGTACACCCCAGAAATTAGAGGAGAGCTGAGCAGGACAAACATTGAAGTGTTGTAAAACACTCTTGATGAAGGGATGCATATGGAAGTGAAGGCCATTCTCAAAAGCTGCCACAAAGAAACATACCCTCTTGTGAAATTGGGCAACGTATAGGGTGTATTTGTCTGGACAGCAGGGCTGAACACTAGGAGAAAAATCGTAACAAGAACTGAGAACTCTCACATGAGAAGAGTCAACCTCATTGGGTCCTATGAGTTCAGCGTGCCTAAAGGTGGCCCCTATGTCCGCTGCGCTGTCAGAGACTCTTATCCCAGTCACATTGTCCTTACCTTTGATAGGATTAGGTGGCACAGAAGAAGACGATGGGGATGGTTCCTCAGTATCTTCCTCGGCATCGACAGCATCTACACCGGGGAAGTTGTCGATTTTTTTGCCTAATTAGTGTCCTCTTTGGCAGACCTTTCCCCCGAGAGAGAAGCAGAGGAGCATGTAACTCTGGAAGGAATAGACATGACTGGACAAGAGTAGGGTAAACTAAAAGAACGGTAGAGGGGGAATACCGATTAAGCACTCCCTAATAACCTTAGGGTCAGCGCAGTAGCTTCCAATAGCAAGGATTCGCACGATAGAAGACTAGTCCACGAAGTGGGGGAGATGAGACAAGCAATAATTTCGATTCCAAAGTAAAAGAACCGAAAGACCCAGAAATGCAATGGCCACCTCGAATTCGTGGGATCCAGAACGAGAAAAGATGAAAAAGGGACAAAAGGGCGTACCCAGGGGAAAAAGAGCAACAAACAGCAGCCTGGAGTGAAATGGAAGAAAGAGGGCAATGCGAATCCTCAAATCGAACCCACAGAACTCGATCTTGAATGACGAATCAGAGAATTCCAAACCAGAAAGCCAAGAAATCGCAAGAAGAGAGAAACAACAGAGAAGTTGAACAGTGGAATAGGGCGGTTCAGATAGCCGTTTGAGCATTTAAAGTTTGAAAGACGTGGACTAAAATGTGCACGAGAAACGAGAAAGTCATGATTGCTGAAAGTCACCAAAAAAGCCAAACTCACGTGCGGGCCAAGGTCAGCCACGTGCAGATCCTACTCGGTTTACAAAACAACTCAACCCCTGCCCAAGCCCGCTTGAACCAGGGGCAACTGATGATACCTCAAACAAGCTCTAGCTGTGAGGTCAGGTCAGGAGGTCGGGAAAGACACGAGGAACTCAGAGAATCAGGGGTGGAGTTCCCCTTGGGGAGATCGTAGCTGAACCGACTGGGAAACAGCTGGATGACTACGAGAATGGACCTCATGCGTGAAACTCTCAACCAACCAAGATTCTTTCTTAAAATTAAGAAGGATCCCATGAATAATGGACAAAGATCTCAGCCGAAATCCCATGGAATAGGGGGTAAGCTTATAAAAACTACGCAACGCCTCATCATGAGGTAGAGTGAAAAAAAAAGAGAAAAACCTTAATCAGTTGAGTACTGTCTGGTGTTACATTCAACTAATTAATAGAGAAGGAAATGAGCAAAAACTTTCATTGAAAAGTGGACTAGCCGAACTCTTAAACCAGTGAACCACTATATTTTCACTGTGTATACCCCTTTAATCTCCTCAATATTTTATTATAACATCATACACGAGCCTCGTAACTCTGATCCACGCTCATTTCACGTTATTTGCACCTTAAGCTCATACATGTTGATTTACGCCTTCACCATCAAATAGAGATCAACTTGATGAAATAATACAAGAACACAAACGCCTAACCTTGAGAAAAGATAATATGCCGACCTAAAAGAATCCATAACTACAGGGGATAAACTGTGAAGTGCGAGTATGATTCCCTTAGGGGTATGAGGTTACAGTCTCACCACATTGCCAAGTAAGATTGTGCATTAATCAACAATAAACAATCTTTATTCGGAAAACCCAACCAAATAGTCCACTAGATGATTCAATGTTGTTACAGGACTCCAAAAAAATATCACAACGAGGTGCCTATGGCTTGATGCTTTTTTCGTCTTGAATCTTCTTCGTAATCCTCAACAAGCTTTGCATGATTCTAGGGATCATACCAAAAATCAAACCCTTAATTCGATATGTCCAAGGAATCCCTTCCATTGAACTCTACTTTGGAATTCTCAAAGTTATCCAAATGTTTTTGACGTTTTAGTATCTAGCTCGTAGGTATTTTACACCCAAATTTTGATCTAAGTGATGAATACTAAATGAGCAATCTTGGAATCCATCAAGTAGTGGTGCTTTAATTTTTTTTTTTTTTGAAGATTATGTTAGGTTATCCTGATGTTTTTCAATCTGCTTTGCAACTAATAGAATTTGAAAACAAATAGAAAACTAAAATCTACAGAATTCCGTATGCGGCTTGAGCCCTGAGCGAGTGATAACCAAGCTTTGGCCACAGGACTAAACTACCAAAGCAAACCCAGAATTACTACTTGAGCTGTAGGCGAGTGCTCATCAAGCATTGGTCTATGGGTCGGACTTCTGCTTTCCATGATTTAAGGACCCCTCCAGCGCCAAAGGAAGCGCTAAGAGGGATACACAATAATTTTTTGCCATAACCTCATATGTAAGTGATTGTAATTAGTTTTAATTATTTTATAAACGTATAAACAATCGTTTTGTTTATTATTTTTTTCCTTACAAAAATTATGTAAAATGGTTTTTGTTCCTTTTATGTGCAGTGATTTTTTTATATATTAAACAAGATATAAATAATAAATTTATCATCTTAATTTTATCGATTAAAAAAAAAATTAAGTGTCTTCTCTAAGAAGATTTTTTGGTTCCGCCCCAGCCTATAATTATTACAGGCTTTACAGCACTTTTCTTTCACTATACATCGGAATAGAATCAAGGCCTATTCCCTATTACAACTACTCCTGGCAACCGACGAAACAAGATATTTTTTTTTTTTTTTTTTTGTGGTTCAACATTAATCCACTAGTAAGATCAAAGTGACATCAACCACTGTTTGCTGCAAATATAGAGGCAAGTTCTTGTTGAAGGCTCTCTATCTCCGCTTGTGCCCCTGCCTTTTCTTTGACATCAGTGGCGGCTAAACTTCCTTTTTTCTTTGATATTTTCTTCTCGGTGGCTTTTATCTGCGTCCATCAGAAAGAGACACATAAACACAACAATATATATTCAGTAGATTCAACTTTTAAGAGAGAGAGAGAGAGAGAGACACCTTTCTGTATGGCCAGCGTAACAACCCATCTCTGCGGCATATCTTCTTCATGACAGTGGGACATATATTCATTTTCTTGGCCGCTTCATCTATAGGAAGATTGAAATACTGTTTGACATCTTTCAATGTTAACTTTCCTGTTCTTTCCCTCTGCACTACTCATCGGTACAATGATGAAGCCAGCAAAACAAACACCCCCGAAATTAGTGGTTTGGATTCACCTTCTGAAAAACTAAAAAATAATTTGACTTGCCAACACTAATAATAAATGGGATGTGTAGGTATAAAAAATTAATAGTTTGATTTTACCATTAAAAACTCATTTAATTGGTATTATGTTAAAATTTTTTTGATGTATTTATTTTTTTTATTTGGTATAGTATGAATATTGTAGAGTTAGGAGATTTTTTTACTTCGTACGGTAAACTAAACATATTTTTAGGGATCTAATTGATAAAATTAATATAATGAGGGTAAAATTGATAAAAAATATATATTTTAGAGATCAAAAATATTATTAATCCAATTCAAAATGACATGAACAAAATTGCGAGAAAATACAACTTGATTATCACCGCAATGAGAATAATAGAAGTAGGCAAAGTTGAGTATAGATTGGTATTGTCATTAAGATACGAGAGTGTACATAGCACAACCTGTGCAGCGAGAGAGGTCTTAGTAAGTCTGTCTGCCTTCCTCTCGGCCTCTGCTTGGTTCACAAGTTCTGGTTGGGCCTCCATTTCGGGAAGGTTCATTTGGAAATCACCTGTACGGAAAGTAGCCGTTGTGAACCCGTGATCTCATAACACATCAACTTGTAAGAAAAAGTAATGTTAGATGGATTTAAAAATTAAATTTAATAATTTTTCAACTATTAAATAGGTAGTTAGTCTCAATAAATACTGGGACTTACAGTAAAATCAATGATTGTAATTATCAAGTCTGATTTTTAAGTCTATTTTTCAAATTTGTGTAACATTGCTCCTCAGATACTGAACTCGTAACACAATCTTGTAATCCGCCATGCATCCTCTCTGTCTGTAAGATGCACAACATGTCCAATATATATATGATGTACATTGTCAAAAAAAATAGATTGTGTGTAAAGGACTAAGGATACTACTTTTTCTTTTCCTCTCCCTTTTCAACCCCGGGCTAGCGACTAAGGATACCACTAGTCTGTTGGGTTATGAGGTTAAAATTTATTTTTAGAGACCAGAAATATTGTGAGCCATGAGTAATTCTCATGGACCTCGTTTGAAAGGACTACTGCTAGATTACTGCCATTTTCTCCTTTCTGTGGACAAATGAAAGAAAACAGGGTAGTGAAGGCTTGCAAAGTAGACAGAAAGCAGCAAATAACACCTTACCAGCCTTTAACCTTTTTATTAGTAAAGTGCCACCCCCTTGTTCTATAGAACATATTCAGGGAATTTTTAAGGTGGGAGTTGAACGTTGTTGTATATCTTCTGAAAAAAAGAGACTACAAGTGGCCAGATAGTATTAAGTAATCCATAAAATGAGTTGTGGTATGAAAAACCCATTACATTTATAGAGGGCACAGGAGTTCACCAACCTGAATTTGTTGGTGATTGTTGAAGGAAACCATCTGTATCCAATAAGTTGTCATCCCCACTTAATCCAACACACAAGGTCTCATAGAAGATTAAAAGTGGATCTTGCAGCAAAATGTAGCCAGCTTGTTTACGCCCTTCACAGTATTGAACTAGGAACTGCTTTACACTGCTTGTGCTTTCCCTGCAAAAACTGAGTTAAAAATTTAAGTCATAAAACTGAATGCTTAACTAGATTTGAATCCAGCAATTTGTACTTGTAGAGCATATTATACAAACAAATAAAAAACTGAGTCCAACACACAAGACACCTGTCATTGTAGAGTTTAGGGTGGGACAAATGCATGCAAAGTAAGGAGTTGTTGACTAACTGTCTGAATCCAATCAAAACATTTTATCAGACTTACTCAAACATTTGATACTCTTCGTTTCGTGTGGTCAATTGTGCACCATATCGATTCTCCAGAACAGCGTGACAAATCATACCAAGTCTTCCATGAATCTCGAGTTTTGTCATGTGGATGCCTAGTAGTATAGATAGATGAGTTATCACATTAAACAAGCCAAAAAAAAACATATACAGTTGAAAAATCAAGTAAAAGAATCATTAGATAGTATCTTGGTTTATTTATGACTTTGTTGCGTTTGAGATCACAAACTAGTAGTAAAAGAAAAAAAAAATTTATTACATATTAGAGATTATATGGTTTACGTTGAAAGTCTAGACAAAAAACACCAAGAGAACTTACTCGTCTATGACAAAAATAACATAAAAATCTCATAATAAAATGAAAGCAAGATTAACCATTTCTTTATTATACATATATGGATATACCACTTAAAAACCTCTTGGTTCCTAATTGGATCAGTTTAATTTCTAGAAAAAAGCCTAGTTTTTTTTAACATTTTAGGTTAGATTTTTAGGAATGAGATAGTCAATTAAAATGGATTTTATGACTCATTGGGCATGAATTGGAAGAAAAAACAACGGTTATTTTCCTACATGACGATGAAACTTTTAAAACTGAAAATTGTTGGCTACATACACACACACCATTAGTATGGATTATTTCTCTTAGTACTTGACAGCAACTGCAAGCATATGGAACTGGTGATACAGGCCAAATAGACAATGGCACCGGATTTCCAAAACCCAAATTTTCTGGATTACTATTCTCTCTGTCATGTCCAGTTCTTTGGCCATGGATATCAGAAGGCCCTGCTTGAGAGTTGTTACCATCAGAGTCATTCAAAACCTCCCAAACAAATGGATCCACAAGGGGATCGTCGGGGTCTGCAATATTATCATCACCGGATTGAGAGATTAATATGTGAAAGGAATTGTTTTCTGGGAGAGAAGGTAACTCGGAGAGATCGAAATTCGGGTTTTCATCTGACATTAGGATCTCTTCAATGCTGGAAAGGTCATGATCAAATGGGTTGTGATAGGAAACAGTGGTTGGTGGTTCTGCCATCAATTTAAATTTGATAGGTTGTGACAGTGGCAGTGGCGGTGGTGGAAGTGGCGACGCCTGGTGTAAACCAAGCGCCGCTATGGTGAATTCGTTGGGTGATCTCAAACACCAGTGTTGGTGCTTGAGAAAGGGCAACGGGAAGAGTTTGAATGACAGTTTGATGATTAGGGATACAAAGACGAGAGAGGGCGGGAGAGTGGCAGTTTAGGACCGTTGCGAAACGTGACGGTTGGGTTTTAAAATGTGTCTGTGATGATCCCCTGGTGTTTGGTTCCGCAGTAAAAACCCAATGACCTTGAAACATTTTTCAGTTTATCTTGCTTTTCTCGTTTTTCGATTAGACTGTAGAAAAAATGAAAAAAAAAAATACATAGAGTTCCTGTTTTTTCCGAAAAAAGAAAAAAATGAATAAAATTATGCTGTCCAAATTTGAATATCAAACCTTGTATTTCAAATGATGTGTTAAAATCTTATACATTAAATGTTTGGTGAAATTAGTAAGTCTCACTGATCTAACCACCTACACTGATTTGGGATACAAATTTTTGTAAACANAAATTAGTAAGTCTCACTGATCTAACCACCTACACTGATTTGGGATACAAATTTTTGTAAACATAACATTGCTAAAAAAAATACAAATAGTTCCTATTTTGCTGGCCAAAAATGTTATTACGATAATTAAGTACTAGTTTTGATAATTAATCACATTGAAGTCCTAATTGCATTGCATTCTTTTTTTCGCTTTAACTTTTAATCACCAAAATTTTATTTAAGTTTGGATGAATATTTTTTCTACACATAGCTTGTTAACGGATTGAATTAATCTAATCTAATCAAGTTCCATTTAAAAAATGTAATTTAATTTCAATTTGGATATTTGACTGATTTTATTTTCACAATCTATATTCAAATTTCTTAAAAATTAGAATGCAATTTAAAAATTTGAGCAAATCCAAAAAATTCAATTTAAGATAAATTTAACTAATTGCATTTGTATTTTAACTCAATTTTATCAATAAATCATTTAATTCAATGAATCATAATTCGAAATTAGAATTGAATAACTGTCAAAAATATTCACTCATATTTGACTAATCAAATTCAGATCAAAATGTGACTCATTAACAAGCTTAATGTAGGATATAAGAATTTTAGGTATCTAAAAATATATGAAAAGAACTTTTTAGATAAATAAGAACTGAATATCTAAAAAAAAAGGTAAAATGTAACTCATGTTAAATGGAAATATACTCTTAATGAAGTTTAGGACGTCATGATAATAAATTATAAAAAGCATAAGACTTCATAATCCATATATACTATTTAAAATGTCAACAACAATAAAATTTTTTGTTTGACTAAAATAGCCTTAATAAAATAGCTAATGCCTATCATAGATTTTTTTAGTTAATAACATTATTAAACTATATGTAATTGTCACATTTATGTGGAGTTAATTGAGTCATTGGTTGCTATTTTAATTCTAAAAAAAATCTGGTGATGGTTGAGCTACTATATTAATATCTCTATATCCAAATTACTAATAAAATCTATTTATAACTATCTATCTATATCTAGACCTACCCTCCAATATTTCTACTATACCTATCTAGATCATGTCTTTTCAAATTCCAAAACATGTTTGTCTATGACATATTTGCTATACCTACTTGGATCATGTCTTTCCAAATTCCAAAACATGTGGAGTAACGGAGAGCTGACACTCACACTGGTCTTACCTTTTTCCCATTCCTTCAGTTCTTTTGGTTTTCGCCAACAGTTCGATGAAACGTTCCCTGTGGTTTGCTGCATGAATTGGAATTTGAAAATAGCCTATTCAATCATTAATTTGCATGCACTTTGGGCCATGGAGTTGGAATTTTAAAAAAACTTGATGATGCACAAATGTGTTTACACATCACTTGTCAATTATTTAATGTAGTAATTAAGAAGGAGAGTCAACACAAGCAAACACAAATTAAATGTTTTATTGCTCAAGGAGTGTAAAGTGTTCAGATGTAAGTGATATATGAGATATACCCCNTGTAGTAATTAAGAAGGAGAGTCAACACAAGCAAACACAAATTAAATGTTTTATTGCTCAAGGAGTGTAAAGTGTTCAGATGTAAGTGATATATGAGATATACCCCTTTGTGTAGGTGGGGTTTACAATTTATAAACGCCTCATAACAGATTGAGACGCCTTTCTTGTTAACGGTGAGATAGTTTGACGGAGGTGGCGCCCTTCTCGTAACAGGTGAGCCAGTTTCGTGGAGGTGATGACGTGCGCGTCCGACAAAGATCTCCTTACGTGTTAGTTGTGGATTGAGTCTCTCACGCAGCTAACCTGACTTTCTCAATATGGTGCGGATGACCTGACCTAGCTTCCTCTATCCTGTGGTGTCCTTGGCCTGCATTCCTAAACTGAACCTGGTCTACGATTATGGGTTTGGTTTGTAATTTTAGGCCTGGTAAATAATTTTAGGCCTAGTCTGGGCTGGGCACATCATTTGTCCTCCATACCCTGAGCCCAATGGGATTTGGGCGAGAGGACATTTGCAAGGATAAATGTTGTCTCTTACTCCTTACCCTTTTTTTCCAAGTATTGATCATGTCCTCATGGTTATTGCTTTGAGATTTTATTTATTTCATTCAACTGGGTTGGTGGGCACTCTATTGGTGAAGACTTATTGTTGTTTTGACTTTCTCCTAGGGATCTTGTCTTTGCCCTTAGGCTTCAGATAGGGCTCCTTATTCCACTTTGATTAGGACTTCTCATTCCAGACTGTTTTGGATATCTTCTTCCACCCTGATTAAGATACTTCATTCCAATCTTATTGAGACTCCCAACTTGATTAGGACGCTGCCAAATCTAAAACTTGAGCTATAAATAAGATCCCTTCACATCAATTCTCCCAACTCAGTTTGGGAAAGAATAGAGAGAAATGAGATGTCAAGTGGATTGGAACTCAAGGAGCAGGGCTTAGGTAAGGCGACACCAAGAGGCGCTAGAGGCTAAGGCACCAAGAGGGGTAGGTGATGCAGCAAACAGGGGCGCCGAGGGTGCGGGCACATGCGTTGGCCAAGGCGCAAGCACAGAGGCAAGCGTAGGCGCCGTGGGCACATGTTAGGGCACAACTGCATGTGAAGCTAGGCGCCTGGAAAACGGTGAGAGGTGATGGTGGTAGTGTTCCCCCACATCCACAGCAACACAAGTATCGTGGTAAGGTGGTCGTTGATAATAATGGTTCTAAGGTGAGCTCTATTTCTAGCTCTCTCAATACTGACGCTGAGATTGCTAAGATTATATCTACTTTTTGTATTTCCCCTAAGGTGTTGTGCAACTGGGCTGAGATAGGTGAGCCAGCCTTTGATGACTCCCTAGGGACCTTGCTATCTATGCGGTGGTGCTAGAAGCAGGTCTAAGGTTCTCGATGTCTACAACCTTGTGTCATATCCTGACACACTTGTCACTCATGTTAGGGAGGTTGGCCCCTAACGACTAGAGAGTGATGTTAGGATTCCTCACATTATGGAGATGTGTACAAGATGAAGGTGCCTTTCCCTCATGTGAGGAGTTTTTCATTGCTTATACTTTACATGAGAACCCCACTCCCAATCGAGGCTAGCATTACTTTTCTCCAATGGTAGGAAAGCTAATTATTGGACTGCGTTTCAACTGTCATAGCTGGAAGACTCAATTTTTGTTTGTAGGAGGAGAGTGATTTGCTGAGGAGGATCGGACTTTGGTTCCCATGGGATGAGGCATACCCAAGAGGATAGGTATAAATTCTGCCTTTATGCTTCTCGATTGATATGTCCTTTTTTGCCTTCACCATATTTTAAACTTCTTTTCAGGCTTGTTAGAATTGTTAGCAGAGTAAGAGGGAAGGTTTCAGGCCGTGAGGGCTTATCCTGTAAAGGATTACAAGACCCTTATGTCTAGAGAGGGTATTTCATACGACTTGATCCAAAATGTGTACACTCAAGTGCAAATGGTCAAGCTGTAGTAATAATCCGGTTAAATCCAGAGTCGAATCCACAGGGAACTACGATTGGTGTTTTGAAGTAAGTAGTGACAGAGACCAAGTAACTCGAAATCTTGAGAGTTTAAAGTTATGGGGTTTGTTGGATAGAATATAAGATTCTTTCCAATTGATTTTTTTCTAGACAAAATATATGATAAATTATCAAAGGTAACAACCACTCTTTAGTTCAAGGATTAGAATATGTAATTAATCATCCGATTTATTATATTTGTGCTTTATAACTCAATTAACTCCTATGTCAATAACAAGTTAATCGAAAGATAAAGATGGACTGTGAGAATTAAGCTCATAGTTCCAATGCCTTTCTAAAAATTTATAAGAATTGTTTATGCCGAGACTTAATCCGTCGACAAGTAAGCAAGTGTTTCTACAAGGCATCCAACTATGGTATTAATGCTCAATTCTTTAGATAAAGCACAATAATGGTGAAGATTGAAATATTTTCATGAAAATCTAGCCGGGGTATTTGCCTTGAATCAACGAGTCTTTCTATGCAAGAGTCATCTGTAACATAGAAAGAACCCACGATTATACAAAGTACCTTAACTTTGATAGATGCAATCAATCATTCAATCAACAAGTGAAATATAAAGCATTAAAGTATAAAGGAAATGCACAAATATAACTTCCAAATAATTTATACATGTTCATCACCTCTTACTAAAGAATGAATGAGGAACTATTCACTCTTCATGGCTTTGATAAAGTTAGAAAAGTGAGTGATATTCATCCCTCCAAGTATAGGAGTTACAAAGTGAAACACACTAAACAAAGAGCTGATCTTCAACGAAGAATGAGTGAATCACGTTCCATTCTTCACAACTTTGGTAAAGCTCTAGAAAAGTGGAAGAGTTTCATTCTTCTAAGAAAGAAGGAAGCTCAAGCAATGAAAGTGAAAGACATAAACAATGAAAGTATAAAAAAATTAGTCACTTTTAGAGGGTTTCT